CAACTAAAGTGGAGCTAACTGTGCAGGACTGATGATGGTAATGCCAACAAATGCAAAGGCGTGAATCCACTCCTTCCTTTAAAGAAAACAAGAGTTTGCCACATTTCCTCTTAAGAAACAGAATGAAGGTTCATCAGAAATAGAAAAACTTGCCTTAACCTAAACCTCAGATCCAGATGCCCCACATTTTAGGATATCCTTGTTAATTTTTAAAGAGGAAAAAAATCTGGGGATGGAAGTGGGGGAAGCTTGTATATTTTATACAAATTATTGCCAAGTGAACATACTGTCAATCTAAATTGCTTTGTTAAAGTTTCGTCACCAGAAATGCTTTGCTGGCAGTGAGATTACATTTTTGGAAGTAACACTTTCTAGAGCTTGGCAAGTGAACAGGACTGAGGCAATTTAATACCCACCCATTTTGGAGAATGTAAAAACATTCAACCAACTGAGTTTGAGTGTTTTCTGGCTTATTTCAAACACTGATGCTGGTATTTTACCTCACACACAAGGAAAGGATCAGACTGAATGAGGGTTGTCTGCCCTTGTCCCTGAATCTTTGCCGTTTTTAGATCCCAGCTCAAACCAATCATTGTCAGAGAGTCTGAAATACCTGGGTAAGAGTTTCTGCAATTCTGATGTCTGGAAGTGCAAACCCTTCACCGCTGCAAGACAAAGGGAGTTCTGCCATGGAAGTCCATTGAGACAAATGCTCAGGCAAGTTTCAGAACCATGCCTGAATTGGGAGGTTTGACATACACTCATCAGACCTGTTTATGTACCAAGCTGTGTGTGTGTGTGCAGTTCTGAGGATTGTACTCCTGTGTAAGCATGGAGGCCCCACACTTTATTTGGTCCAAAACACTCAAATATTTTCATTTTAAATGAAAGGAAATGTTAACTTTGGACTGAAATTGAATTGCAGGATGGATGGATTGCTCTAAATCAGTCTAATCTGAGGACATGATTCTCCCCCCGCCCCCCTCAAATTGATTAGGAGAGAGACAGAGGCTATTCAGCTTCAAGCTCTGTAGGGAAAAAAATCCAGACTTAACTGCAAAGATATTTCAAACAATTAGGGGACCTATTCCATGCCCCACTGTGTCTAGTGTAATGACTCTAATGGGCTTTACTCTGTAAGGCATCCACTCTTCATTCTGGAGGGGTAAATTCACAGCACTCTATAATCTCAGGAGTTCAAGTCCCGCAGTACATACAGTGGCTATGTGGGGAACTTGGGCAAGTGTGGCTGATGTTTTTTTAGATTTTGTTGTTTGGAATAAAATACTTGGAGCAAATTTTTTTTTCCAGTTTTTTTTTAACAATTATAAAAGGTCCAGACTGTTAGTTACTCTTCTTCAAAGCCCAACTTTCTAATGCTTTATTCTAAGAAATAATATAACCCATTCATCACCATCACATTACAAAAAGAATGGGAAGGTTCATCAAACATTTGCTGAAAGTGTCACTGCTAGGAGAGAACTGAGTGTCAGAGCCCAGGTCAGCTGATGTGGGCTCCCAGGGCTCAGGCTGTGGGGCTAAAAATTGCAGTGTAGACATTAAGGCATGGACTGGAGCCTGGGCTCCGAGACCTTCCCACGCTGTGGAGTCTCAGAGCCTGGGCTCCAGCCCACACACAAATATCTGTACTGCAATTTTATAGCCATGTGAGCCCAAGTCAGCTGACCCGGGCCAGCTGCAACAGTGCCACAAGTCTCCTACTGCAGTGTAGACACCCTTGAAAGGACCAATTTGAATGCAGCCCCTTCTATAGTAACTAAAAACTATTGCAATCCGTTAGCTGGCAGTGGCTGGTAGTAGGTACAAGTTAGTGGTCTCACTCCAGTTCTTAGTGGGCTTGTGCTCTGTCTATCCTGCAATCACAGAGTGTGACTACAGCTCAGGTAGGCATATCCAAGCTAGCTTTAATCTTGCTAGCTTGGGTACCAGAGCAGTGAAGCTGTGGCAGTGCAGACTTCAGCACAAGCCTGTCCTGGGACTACCTACCCAGGGTTCTGGACAGGCTTGGACAATCCAGGCTGAAGCACCCGCCACTGTAACTTCATTGCACTGGCACCAGAGCTAGTGAGATTAAAGTTTGTTAAGGTATGTTTACTCCAGCTGCACTCCATCCCCTGATAGCAATATCAACATATCTAGAGAGGGATGCAAGGGAGTAAATTTAAACTCTTGCTCTAAGGCCTAGTCTTCACTTACCGGCTGGTCCGGCGGCACGCCATCGATGTTCTGGGATC